AAGAGCGGGGCCATCTCGGTCGGCGGACGGTCGCTGAAGTTGGAGCCGGAGTTGAGGGGCGAATAGTTGCCGGAGCGGTTGGTCTGGCACCGGATCGTCGCGAACCGAGGGAGGACCGCGGCGACGCGTGAGAAAGGGGCTAGGGTTCGGCGGCCGAGGATGAGAGACGGGACGGAAGGAGGCTTCGTGGAGAGGAGGCGCTTCGGGAGGAGAAGAGAGCGAGTAGGGCGGCGAGCCGTGAAGGAGGCCATGGCTCGGGCTAGGGTTTGCGCCATTGTTGAAACGATGAGAGTTGCAGAGAGAGAAAGAGACGAGGGTTTATGAAGGATGAGGATAATAAATAGAAGATTTCTTGCGAAGGGTTTTGGAGGATGTAATATGGTATTTAATATCTCGAGAAAGGGCATCTTCTTGATTTGGGCCTTTTGGTTTGGGTGGAGGACTGGAGGCCCAAGTGGGAAATCTCCTACCAGATTACTCTAATTCGAGAGGTCACTCTCGGTAGCGACGGCATCTAGTGGATAACCTTTGCTAATCTTGTAGATTACCTTTCTTATAATCGAGATAAATTTGATAAAACATGTATAGTTGACTTTCACCAATCCATTCAAATTGCATAACTCTGAAATTCCAATATCTAGGGCAATAAGTCAAAAGATTAATTAATTTGGTGGTGCTATCAAAATTACCCCATTCACTTCCAGCAAACAAAAACATGGGAAGCCCAATACCAAAGTGGAGGAAAAAACCAGAAATACTACAATGCTAAAAAAATATTATTTATGTCATTTTACTAAAAAACTAAATAATTATCATTTAATTAATAAAGTAAAAAAATTATAATATCACCTAATTATTTAGAATGTTATAAATATTAGACCTTTATAAAATCATAGTAAACCATGTATTTTCTCACGGAATAATGTCTTATTAGTGGGCTAATGACTCAATTATATCACATGATCATAATTGTAGTTAATAGCATATTTTTTACACTAAAATAAGTAAATAGCATATTTTAGAATATTTAAAGTAAATAGTATTGCGTAAATTTTTTATTTATAAATGGATTTACGTGAAAAAATATTTTTTACCATGTAAAATTTTCTTTTTACAACTAGATTTACGTAGTAACATTATCTTTTTCTTTTACCACATTTAATTTACTGCTATTTACTTCAAACAGTTTTAAAATCCGTTATTTACTTTAATAATTTATAGTAAATCTACTTTTTACTTCCTTCTTCCTTTTCATGAATTACTTGTAGTCGATTAGAGTGGAGAATTTTCTTTTTCTTGGAAACTCATGTCTAGAGTTTTATTACTTCTAAAAAAAATAAAAAAAAGTTTAGAGTTATATCAAGCAATTCTGTGATATAGGATATAAAGATAGTGAAAATTTTCTCAAAAGTCAAATTACGTCAACTATACTCATCAAAAGTTGCATAAATTTTAATCATAACAGAATCCAATAATTTGTGAACTAAATAATATATAATTGAATCTGATTAAATTCTAACAATTCCAAAGTACTTTCAATCAAACTTTCAAAAGTATTTTGTTGTTCTTCTCCTCGCCACATAAAATCATTAATACTTTTAATATTAAGTTTAAGAAGTATTCACCTACTAAAAGTATATTTCCGTTTTTTTCCTCATCGCAATATAAGATAACATGACATTAAATTTTTGCATGAAAATTGGATAAAATCACTTTTTTTTTTTTTTTCTGAAACCTTTTCGAATGCATCGCAACTGAAACGACTTTTTTTTTTTTTTTTTTTTTCCTTTCTTCTTTCAATTTTGAATGTACATTGAAACGTGTTTAATTTCCTTAGGATTCTATTGGATATCACTAGCTACTTGCTACAAGTTTAGTTACGGCCAACACTGACACACCATGAGTTGACACTAACACGTGGTTTGTGTTTGTAGTTGTCTCCATACTAATTCTGGTATTCTAAGTTGTATTTAATTAACTAATTACATTATATTACATTATGACATATTATTTAAAAGATTTAAAATACTTTTTAACTGATTTTTACATTTGTTTTTGTCCAAATCTATTAAATGACGTAACGTGATATATTAGGCCTTTTTGTTTCAAGAACATAATATATTAATCAAATACCATTCTGTCTTAGGGATACCAAAAATTGAGCATGAAATCTGAATGTTTTAATTATAACACCTCTTTAGCATGTTTATATTGATGTACAAATGAGACAGTAACCATGTTATTTTTGTCAACTCAAAATGTCAGTTTTCAACGAATTAGTGCTCTTCTTTTTTTTTTTTTTTTTTTTTTTTTTTTTTTTTTTTTTTGTGGATAAGTAGAATGCCGCCTTTGTTCAATAGCAGAGTAGATCAAGACGCAAATTGTCAAGGCCAAGTTCCCACAGTCGAGCGAAGCTTTTCCCATTTCAACATCAAAACTTGGCTTTGGTCAACATTTTCCAACTTGACTTGCTTTGCCATATGTCAATCGCTTTCTAGCTCCAACTGTGTCAAATTCCTTTGCCATTGCGCTGGATTCTTCTTCAATTTTTACAATCGAGATTTGCGTAAGCTGCACAATTTTTAAAAACAATGATAATCATACTGTATTATTTGAGAATCTCGTGAAATCTCATTACAAAAGATTGTCTTTTTGGTCAGGATAATATTTTATTTTAGGACTGTATTCGTTATTACTAAACGATGAAGCATAAGCAGAAGGCCTTAGTAAGGCTCTGCTCTACTATTAGCTATTTGCCAAAGCACTAGTTGTCAATTCACTTATCACTCAAAAGGACAAATTCCGCCCCATGCGGTGAATAAAAATTGAAGAAGATTAGATGATGGCTTCCACCAAGCTAGCTAATTTTAGATAGTACATACCTACTAATAATCTCACCTATACACTAGGTTTGATAATATGCCCTTTAGAGGATTTTTCTTAGATTATTGTGAGGGTTTTGGGATGAGAATCGTGTTCAAAAAAACTTGCTTTTGAACTATCGTTACTTTTTTTACAACAAATATTTTACAATAATCGTTACAACACAATTTGTAGTGATTATTTTAAAAGGTACGACAATATCAAACTACCCCAAGGGAATCCAAACTCCAATATAAATATGTTGACGGTGTTTTTCCGACAACTCGTAATTACCTCTTCGGAAACGCTCACGGTTGCACTAACCACTGAATCAAGTAATAAGCAGTAAAATAATGTAGAATGGACAAGGATTTTATAGTGGTTCGGCAATAATTTTGTGCATAATCCACTTGTGCATGCACTATTTTCTCAGATGTTTACAAGTTCTCTCTGTAATATTAATGGTGTCTAACCCCTTTCTGGGTTTCGTTTGTTCTATTTATAGGCCTCTACCTTCGATTACATATTCCCGGCTCTCAAGGTGGAAGTCATCTTCTGTTCTCGATCCTCATGAGGGTAGGTGGGTTTTTCATGATGACTTTTCCTGAAAATACGGCTGATCCTCTCAACCTGCCGCCTGACTTCCTGACTTCTGCAGTAGCAGTCGGATCAGTACTTCCCTCCTCGGGTTGACATGACTCTGGCAAAATGGACCGACAATGTTCCCTCGACGCAGCGGTTTCAGCACGTAGAGCCCTCGCCCGATGCCTCTCCTCTTGCGCGATCTCTCGACGCATAGGGCACGTTTGCTATGCCTTACCGTCGATGCCAACGGCCGGTCCTCCACGGGAGTCCTCGGCGTCGGTCATCCGAAGGAATGGTCGATGTCTCGACCATGATGTAACAAAATATATAATAAATTTATAATACACATATATTAGTGTTTTTTGTCCTTGACACGGATAAATTTTTGTGCGTAAAGATCTGGAGGTGGATGAGGTAATCATGAGTGAAATTCTACTCTGTTGCGTTAAGAAATGGAATGGGCGAAATAGTGCTTGAGCAGTGTGGAGCAAATGGCACGAAGGTGAATCGGTGATGATTGAGGCCATGCATGTTGACGCCTGCGGTGGTTTGTCAGACTGAGCTAATTCTTTTTTTTTTTTTTTTTTCCCCAAAGAATTTTGAGCTAATTCATATTTGGACAGTTGGACCAACAACATTTCCTTGGATATATAGTATCATTTACAATAAACTACTAGAAGACAATGGTGATGATGCCAATCTTATAAACCCGTATCTATTTTTTATCATTAGCATCTACGTCGTGTATAGTCATTTTGAGCGCCCCTATTCTTTCGGATGGAGTTAACACTCCTATTCTTTTTTATGGAGTTAAAATCTTACTACTCACAAAAAGTGGGTCCCACTAAGTAAATACATGCAACCCAATTTAATGAGAGTAGCAGAGTTTTAATCTCATCAAAATAAATACGTACTTTTGAATCATTTTCTGTTCTTAAATTTTCCACAATTATGAATGTTATTTCCCTATGTGAGAGTATGTTAAAAATTTTATAGATAGGATGCGTTATATTACATCAGATAAAAAAATTTCCCCATAAGGAATTAAAATAATTATGATCATAAAAAAAAGAGAGAAATGATTATTATCATTTTCTAGTTGGATGGAGGTGCAAGTTGGAATTTTGGTGCCTCCATTTCCTAATTCCTACATTTTTCCTGTTTTCAAAAAGTGAACTCAAGCATAGAAAAGGAGTGTAAAGTGTGACTGGGTTTATTATTGTTATTACTAGTAATAATTACCACATGAATTAATTAATCGGTTACTCAGTCACTTATAAGATATACCATAAAGTTTTTTCAACAATTAAATAATATAAATCATGTCATTTAAAAAAAAAAAGTCCATATTTAACAGAATTGAATAAAAATCTAACACTGGTGGCAGCATGTGACCCCTAATAGCATACAAATTAATATGTGGTGTGTGGTGGTGGTTGTGATGGCGGTGTACACACCAAAATCGTCTTCGCTCTTTTGTTGAGGTTCTGGACGCTTGCTTTCTATCCGTTCTGGTCTTTAATCAATGGATGAAGTGTCGTTCGTTTTGGATTTTGTGTGAGCCTGAGGCCTTTTATCTTTTCCGTTGTTTGTTTTATTTTTCAATAACAACGTATTTATTTTATGCCTTTCTAAGTCTGGTTTTATTTTGTTTTTGTCTCTGTCTTGTGGTTGTAATAACGAAGGTTGTGTCCCCACTTTTCGGTGCGTCCGTAAGATTTTGTTCTTTGTGGTATTATTTGTTTGTTAGTTAGTGGCCTTTTTTTCTACATTGTTGTGGTCCTTAACCGAACGGAAGTTTCCTTCGATCTTTAAGGTCTTATTAAATTAGGGTCATGTACACTCATTTTTTTGGTGTATAGGTGCTTCCCGGGCTTCTAACATACGTTTTATC